GTGTGATCCTTGGTGTCCCTGAGGCCATGTGACTATGTCAAATCTAAGCTGGGACCCAACTGTTTTCCTCTCATCTCAGACATATCCTTGTCTTTTGGGCCCTATGTTACTTTTCTTCACAGAAGGTCTGAGGGAAGACCTAGCAGAGGCCTGCCTTAGAGAGCTCACCTGGTAAGGCCCAGCACCTGCCTGATCCTAAGGCTCACACGTAGCCATCTCTGGGCTGAGGTGTCCTTTGCACCGACTGCAGGAGCCTGTGCTCCTCAAAGACAGCACTGCTGGGCTCTGCTGTCCTCACCAGCAAGATGTTTAAGTTCCTTTCCTTCTGAGTTGGATTTCTTGGGACCCTGTGGATTCTCACTTCTGGTTAAGGTAATAGATTGAAGAAACTGTGAAAACAGCCAGCTGACTGTGGTCGTCACATCCAGTTAGGCCTCTGCAGAATCCACAGCCCTGTCTCCAGAGAGTCCTGGCTTGTGCACACCAGTGTGGAGAAAGTGTCACCCTGGAAAACCAGACAGTGACCTCACTTCTCCTGCGTGTTCACAGACGTTTGCTCTGTCCCGTGCTCAGTGACCTCGTCAACTGCTAAGTAGCACGCATCTGTGCGTCTCACTGTTAGGAGTGCTGAGGAGCCCAGAGGGGTGGTGGCTATAGCTGAAGGCCACCTGCAGCCAGCTGTAGAGGAGGGAGGGAAAGCAGCAGAGGCTGGCTATGTCCCTGAGTTTCTATGACAGTTACCAAGCCAGTTCTAGCTGGTCAAATCTAGGGACTTGAGTCCTAGGTCAGCAGTGGCCACAGGCGGAGTCCTGAGGGTCCTAGTGGAGCCTGGGAGAGTAGTTGGCTAGAACAAGAAGCCCAGACCACCCCGCCCTCCCCAAAGGCCAGATCCCTGAACCACAGCACCACGTGACGGGACTAAAAAGTCACATTTCAAAATGATGAACTCAACCTTCTCAGCTGCTCACCTGTCCTTCCCAAACTGTCCTCTCCCACCAAAATACAGAATAGGGTCTATGCCCACTGCATGGGTAAGGACACAGAATGTTCTTGTTATAGACTGAATTGTGTCCCACGATCTGTATGTTGAGGCCCTCACTCCTAATACCCCAGAAGGTGACTGTCCTGAGAGACACGGCCTTTGCAGAGGTCATCAGGTGATGTAAGGTCACAGGGGTGACTTTAATCCACTCTTATAAGAAGAGTTGGGTCCTTGTTATAAGAAGGGGAGATCAGGACACAGACACACACAGAGGGATGACCACGTGAAGACACAGGAAGAAGATACCAGGTACAAACCAAGGAGAGGACCAATCCTGCCCACACCTTGACCTTAGCCTCCCAGCCTCAGAGTTAGGAGAAAGTCAATGTTGTTGATGTCTGTGGTGCTTCATTCAATCCCCATAAGGATCTGAACAGCATGAGAGAAAAGAATATTCCAGAAGCAAGAACTTGGATCTGAGCAGCAGCTGGACATACCTCCTCAGGAAGAGAGGCAGCAGCCATTGGCACCAAACCAGGAGTGAAGAGACCTGGGCAGTGTGGGGACTTGACTCCCCACAACCCCCACAGAGCAGGCACTTGGCTGTGAGGACACTCCAGTTGGCAATGGTGACCCTGGGTAGGGAAGGTGACAGGGACTCCAGAGAGAAATGTGACCCACACAGAGGGGTCTGGAAGGCAAGGAGAACTTGTGGAGGATTGGCACATAGACTGTGTCCACACAACCCAAATGTCGGCCATGGAGAGGAGACTGAAGCAGGGCTGGGAGGAGGTTGACCTTTGCACTGGCCAGTGGCCACTTCCAGCTGCCAGCAACTGCTGAGGCTTTTCTGGGGCAGAGCCCACTTTTGCCAGATGTGGGGTGAGCTGGATAATTGATGCACCCAAGAGCAGTCCCAGCCAATGGCTGCAGGAGCTGGTGTGTCTACCTCAGCTCACTCTCTGCTCTGACCTTGTAACTCTGAGGCTCCCAGAGTCCCCTGTGGATTGAGCACCAGCTGCCGATAGCAGCCATTAGCTCTTCCTTTTCTGGCTCCTTCTCTTCTCAGGTTCACTTCTCACTCTACTACCCATGTTTCAGTTGACATCCAAAGAAACTATTGCACATGAACTCCAGGTTCAAGGTCAGCAGCTGGAGTTTCCGGATGTGTAACAGATGCCAACTATCCCCAGGGATGGAGAGCTGAGAACAGGAAGCCTGGAGTTGGTCCTTGTGGCCCCAGCTCTTGACTTAGGAAGGAGACTGAGAACTCTGGTACCACGCTGCTCTGGTCATTGGCTGCCCTCCTTTACTTCATCTGAGAGCTCTGGCTTTACAGTGTGGGGTCCCAGGTCAATGTCTGGTATCCCGAGAGCCCCTGTTGCTTACCTACAGGGGTGGCTATAATGGCAGAACTAGGATGTGAGTTCTGAGGGACTGATTTCTGTCTGATGCTGAGTAAGCACCTTAGCTAAGAGCTCACCGTTATCTGAGACCACTCCTCTCATTTAAAGGGGAAAGGCCAGCAGAGAAAGAGGCAGGGGTCACCCCAAATCCCAACCACACTCCCTAGAGCCTGGCTGGAATGTGCTCTGTCCCTGTGTCCCTGTGATAGCTTCATGTCCCCAGCTAAGGTTGCCACCAAGAGCAGCCATCATAGACAGGATTGCCATCTGCTGTCTTCTTTGATTTGCCAATTCCAGCCCATTTGGGAAAGAAAGCCGCACTCCACCTAATTTCTAGACCCGCGAACCTTCTCTGTGTGTCTCTGGAGCCTGTGTACACCTTCCCTGTCAGAGGTCCCTTGAGTTCCTGCAATATCTGGAAATGACAAACTTTCCTAGAAATAAAGCGATTTATCACGCCTCTGGGGTGCAACCCTGGTAAGTCGCGTGTGCCAGGAAGGTTGGGGCTACAGATGCGACAAAGACCATTGCACTTCAACTCTCAGCCACTGTGTGGGAACCACATAGGCTTGAGAGCCAGGAGCTGCACTCCAGCCCTTGTGCAAGGGGCCTTGGGGGTCTCACCTGCTCTCCTGGGAAATGAACACAAGAGCAACCCAGCTCCCTGCACTGCCTTGGGGGTCGAGCCAGTATGGGGAAAGCATCCTCACATCCAGGACACAGGGTCACATGACTAGCATCACCTGGTTCTTTGTTCCAAGACAAAAGTTCTATTCCTTTCCCCAGGTGGGGGGAAAAAAATCCCTGCTCCCTCCCTCAGCCAGGCTGGGTGGTGTAACAAGTGGCAGCTAAACAAAGACTTTCAATTTCAAAAACTTTCTTTCTCTGCACTTAGAGGCCTGGCTCCCCGCCTTCCAGTACAGCTATGAAGAACAGCTTTCCCCCCCGCCGTGCAATCCAGGGGCTGACTTTAAGCCCCCTTGCTGGACCAGAAGCCCCCCAACATGCTCCTGTGCCAGCACGGGGAGTGGGAACTGCCACCTTTGTCCTCGAGCCCCTATGGAGCACATGAAGCGCCAGGTCCTTGAAGCAGATGCCTCTGCCAGCCTCTCAATGGCTTTCACGTCTTCAGAGCACAACCCTCCACTTGCTTTTTAACAGTCACACCTCCCAAATACGTTCTGTGACGCATTCTATCCTGCTTGTACAAGAACCATTTCTAGCCCCCTCTCAGTTACACTGACCTACAGAGTCCATACGAGCTTGCTTCCCTACCAAGCTTGGTCTCGAGAATGACAGGGGTGTTCACATGAGATCGTGATTTGCTCATTCAAACACACACAAAAAAAGCCAGGTGCAGGTGGCTCACGCCTATAATCCTAGCTACTCAGGAGGCAGAGATCAGGAGGACTGTGGTTCGAAGCCAGCCCAGGCAAATAGTTCATGAGACCCTATCTTAAAAATACCCATCACAAAAAAGGGCTGGTAGAGTGGCTCAAGGTGTAGCAGGCCCTGAGTTTAAACCCCAGGATCAGAAAAATAAATAAAAAAAGAAAGAACTGTTCACAACTCCAAGTCTCCAAGTGCCAAAGGGGCAAGGAGTCTGTCCAGCCACAAGTCCTGGTTGTCACAGCCTGTGGTGACTTGGGTTGAGGAAAGTAGGGAACATCGTGTTACAATACAGCTGTGGATGGAGCAGCTCCTGGACCTGCCGTCAACTTCCAACGAGATGCCAGCAACTTGTTCTCTAACATCTCACAGCTAACCCAGAGCAAAGCGAGAACGTGTGAGGACTGCCACCTGAGCCACCCCACAGGAGACCCAACTCTCCCAAACATTTGTACCCAGCTAAATAGCAGCCCTGGACCAGCCAAGATCTTGGGGTGGGGGGAAGCTGGACAGCAGGAAGATGAAGTTTTCCACTCCATCCAAATTATTCCCTGCCTCCATTTGGATTCTAGAAGGAAAGTATCACTTCTTTAAACACTTCAATGGCCACCCCAAATCCAGATGTGCCCAAACTGCCTTCATTGGCAAATCAAATCCTGTTCGTTCGCTTGTTTAAAACTGGCTTTCCTATTATGGATCTTGTGGTCTCCCCTGAGCCTCCCAGAAGGGCTGAATCCAGCAGCGGCATTCTGCTCAGGTTCAGCTCCAGCTCTGCCACCCCCAGCTGTGTGACCATCAGCCAAGTGGTCCTCAGTCCCCTCAGTGGAAAAATGAAGGTTATGAATGGAAGAGTCTCCCACTGGTTGGTAATTTGTTTAATCTCTTCATCAGTGTCTGCCCACAGTAAGGGCTCCGCGAGTGTCCGCTCTACCGTTATTGCTGTTATTCTCAACTGGTGTCTAGGTTTCATAGGGAAGCTTGGGTCCCACACCTACAACCCAGAATCTGGGTACCTGCCAAGCCATCCGCACCTGCTGGTTTGCCCTTGGATCCTGGAGGACTGGCACTAAGGGGCAGAAGAGGTCACACTGACGTTTAAATTCCCTGCATACACCAGTGCTGATCATTACACCAAGCAAGGGACATGTCATCATCCCGCCCCCTCCCCTCCTCAGAGCCTCCACCTGGCCAGCGCGCCCCAGGGCCAGTGGCGCGCTACTCACGCAGGTGGTGCGCGTAGCGGAGGTGGAAGGCGTCGCAGCCGTGCACGTGATGGTACAGCGTCTTCTCGATCAGGTCCTGCGGCTCGTAGCCAGTCAGCTCGGTCACCCTGGAGGAGGACGGGGCGCGGTGAGTCACACCGCTCTGCAGATTTGCCTTTCGTTTAAACTAATATTGGTTTTGCCAACTAATCAAGTGCTAAAAGGCTTTGGGGGGGAATGTTGATTTTGGAAAGTGAGAATAATTTTTCTTTTTTAACAAGAAGCAAGACTTTGAACTCTAGCCCAGGGCAGGATGCAGAACTATTTGTGAGCAGGACAGGAATGTCGTTCTGAAACGCTGACTGAAGGCATGCTGGGGATGGCTAAGGTTGCAGTCTTTCTCAAGGTCAGGCTTAGCTAAGGTCACCTAGAACTGAACACCAACACTGGGAAAAGCTGCCAGGATGAGAAGAGCCCACTGGGGTGGAGGGGGTCCTTTGTGAACTTTGCTTTTTATTCTAATAAAATATACACAATATAAACTTTATCATTTTAATCTTTATTATGTGTTTGATTCAGTGGTGTTAACTATATTCAGAGTGTTGTGAAATCACTTTCCAGAACTTTCTATCACACCAAACAGAAATTCCATGTTAGATCCTAACTCCCCCCACCCTGGTCTCCTCTGTTCAACTTTCTGTGTCTTTGAATTTGTCTATTCTAGAAACGTCCTACAAGTGGAATGATAGGATGTAGCCTCTAGGGTCTGGCTTCGTTCACATAAAGTCAGGTCTTTAAGGTCCCTGCGTGTTTGTGGCATGTGTCAGAACTTCATTCCTTTTCGTGGCTGAACAGTATCCTATCTGGGGTAGGTCATCTTGTTTTTAGTTCACCCCCTTTGTGTGTTGGGGGTGTGTGCATGTTCAAATCTGCACTGCACACTGGGCACATTGGTTGGTACAGGTGGTCTCTGACTCCTACCGTTGGGTGATTCCTACTAATGGGAATTATGGAATAACTGCACACGGTTAAGCCTTGAATCAGTGACAGATTACTCCAGACCCCCCAGAACTAGTGTAGCAACTGAAGATATTGTGGCTAGCAGGTAAGCTGTAAGCTCCCCATAGAAATGGGGGCTGCCCCCTTCATTACCACAGATCCCTGGGTGTATTAACTTCCCATTTCAGCTCTTTGAAGAAGAGTGGCTGTTGGCATCCAAGTCCCCATTGCAGTACCCTTGAGAGTGCTCTGTCACAGGGGAAAATTGCATGTGACAATGGTATGGTTCCCCAGGCTTAGGGAACATGCCCTCAAAGGAGGTGGCCCTAAACCAATTGGTGACAGATATTCAAAGACAGATGAAATGGGAATAAGAAAGAATTCCAAAACAGGCAAGGCTATGGGGAGAAGTCACTTCTGGGGGGACAGTGGGGGAGGAAGGGGACCCACGGGACTAGGGGCTCTGCTTGCCAGGACATGAAACATTAACTGCAAATTAAAGCAGGGAAACTTGACCTTGCTTTCATTCTCTAGCCCGCTTCCTTTCTATTGAGCTGTTCAGGCTTTGTCGTAAATCTCCAACAGCCTCATGTTTTCCTGGAGCGGCTCCCTGTTTGGTGACACATTCCCATGGTGTTCCTCCAGGGTGGGAAGGGAACAGGGCTCAAGGCAAGAGGAAAGGGGACTTCCCTGGCCTCCCGGTCCCACCATGCAGGGCTCCTGACACATGTCTGAGGGCCACTTACAACTCCAAACCCCACCAGTGCCTGAGTGTGTGGCAGAAAAACTGAGATGTCTGGCTTCCCCCAAAAGAAACTCAGCCATGTCTGCAGTGTGGGATGACAGAGGTGTCTCAGGCCCTCTGCACGTCGAGTTATAGCACAGGGGCCCTAAACATGCAAACGAATGAGAAACACTTGTAGTAAGTTTCTCAAAGCCCACGCTAGCTTTACAAATTAAAGGAAAGGGGTAGGGCTGGGCAGGACTCCCTGGTGGTTTCTGCAGTCCTCCAGTGTCTGTAGCCCATCAGAGGATCTGCCAAACCCCACCATCACTGGGTTCACCATCCTTAGCAAAGCACCAGCTATGGTTTCAAAGTGAAATACCACAAATCCCGAGGAGCACAATGGCAGGTTAAGCTGAGTTTGGTGGAGTCTGGAACTGTGCTGGGGGGGTGGCCTGCTGGCCACACATCACCTTCACTCCTGTGACTTGGGGCCACTGGCCTCTGGCCAACCCCTCACCATGGCTCGTGGGGTTTGACACAGAAGTTGATGTCTCCAAGAGCCTGGCCAATGCTGACCTCCCAGAGCCAGGCCAGCCCAGGTGCCTGTCTGCTGGCCCAGCGGCCTTTCAAAGACCACAGGAGCTGGGCACACTGGCTCACACATGTAATCCTAGATACTTGGGAGGCCGAGATGGGGAGGATCACAGTTCCAGGCCAGCCTGGGCAAATACTTTATGAGACTCCATCTCCAAAAATGGACTGGAGGTGTGGCTCAAGAACTCCAGTCCTAATAAAAAATTTTAAAAATCCACAGGAGGTGTAACAGGACAAACACTGCAACTGCGAAGGCTCCCCAGCATGCCTTGAACCCCTGCTGCAGGATCACAGCTCAGATGAGCCCCGAGGCCCTGCTAGAAGCTTCCTAATGCCCAGCAGTGTTGGGCAGTGACAGGAAGTCGCCTCCAAGATCACTGCCATTCTTTTCTACTCACTTCAGGAGTGCAGCCTTCACCTCTGAGGTACAGGTGCCCCCCACCCCACACACCCCCGGTGCCTCTCAAAGGCTGCATCTGAGGTGCCTTTGGGCAGCAGCCTGGCTTCCCAGTCAAATGCCTCCACCATTTGCTGGAAAGACCCTCCACGTTGCAAAGACCCCTGGTTGAATGCCTGGAGAAGACCTCGGATCTCCCCTCTAAGGACGCCCCCCTTCTCTCCTATTCTAGATAATTCAGTGGGTCCCTTGAATTATCTGAGAAACACCAGAAGCCCAAACAAGGGAAAAGCCAGTCGGGTCCTCCATCCATCCCCTCACATAGTCCACATTCTTCCAGCCTACTTTCAGAAGTGGCTCCTAAGTCAGGAAAGATGTCCCCTGCCACTGCACACCCCAGGCTCAGAGGCAGCTTGCCCAGCCCCCTCTCCTGCAGTCTCTGCTTCTGCAGGGCAGGAAAACAGTATTTGTCACCATCTGACTGTCCCCAAAGGTGCTGGCAGCATTCATCAGCCCCCCGACTCTTTGTTGGAGTTTCTGGGAAGACAGAGGCAACTCTGTAATGCTAACTCCTGTCACTTCTCTGCCTTTGAATGGTGCATCAATGATGAACTCAACTAAATGCTGTCCTCAGCACTGAGCAGATAGATTTGTCTTTTCTCAGTAACGAATCAGAAAGTGGTTAAAGGATTAATTTTACGTAATGTTTTAACACAGTTTTTAAAAGTAAAAAAAAATACATAAGAGTAACAAGAACATAAAATCAGTAGTTAAGCACAGTGGTACATCTTGCCCGCAATCCCAGCTACTTGGGAGGCAGAGATCAGAAGTATTGTGGATTAAGACCAGCCCAGGCAAAAAGTTAGGGAGACTCCCTCTCAACCAACAATCTGGGCATGGCGGTGCATACCTGTAGTCCTAGCCATTCAGAAGACATAGCTTCTTGCTCACCCTGCTGGTTCCCAGCCTAGACAGTGATGGGTCACCAGATGAGCTGTGGTCATGATCATCAAGCAGCCCTCTTGCAAGGTGACCTATCTGCTCCTGCCTCTGACCTGCCTCGGCTATAGCAGATATGAAGCTTCACTCACTGCTCGGTATGGAAACCTGTTTGTTTCTACGTCCTACCAATGTGGTGGAGAGAAGGGAGGATCCTGATGTCATGGGCCATCAGAAAAGGTGAATGTATGGGACCAGGTGTCATGGTACCAACCTGTAATCCCAGCTACTCAGGAGGCAAAGACAGGAGGATCTCAGTCCAAGCCCAGCCAGGCAAAAGTTATCGATATCTTATCTCAAAACAAAAACAAAACAAAAACTGGGTTTGGAGGTGCATGCCTGTAATCTCAGCTACTCAAGAGGTAGAGTCCAATGCCAGTCCAGGCAAAAGCATGAGACTATATCTGAAACTCAAACTGGGGACAAGCTCAAGTGATAGAAAATTTGCTTAGCAAGCACGAAGCTCTGAGTTCAATCCCCAGGACTGCCATAAAAAAGGGGATGTGGACTAACTTTCGCCTGTCATACTAATTTCCGCCACAAACTCCAGTGAGATGATTCAAATATAAATTCATTCAAACAAGTCCCAGAGCCCCAGGGCAGACATGACAGTTCTCTCATTCACAGCTTGGTTTCACTAAATTACTTTCTAACCGACATTCTTAGTAGGACTTATTCCTTGTTCTAGCCTGGCTCAATAGCCACTGCTTTTAGGGGCAGATTCCCAGCCTCGCTGTCTCCAGACTGTACTGCAGCAGTGATGGCAGTGGCCAGACTCACCTGGAATCCAGGAAGATCAGCTTGAGGTCAAGGCTGGCCCTAAACATAAACATGTTACTGTGCAGTTTGATCTCTGTGATGGCACTGGGTGGCAGAGACTGGCCCACGGCCACCAGCCCCACGATCTGGTAACAGGAGTCATACAGGGACATGTCCAGCATATACTGCCTGATCTTCAGGTAGCCGCTGCAGTGGATGACCTGGGAGGAGGGCAGAGGACAAGGTCAGGCCTGGGCCTAGGGTGGCCCCCTCTCAGTTTTTCTGAAGGTACTGGAATATTCCCCATCCATAGCTTCTGCGGTAGAGGATCGAGGCCTTGCTCAGCAGAGATGAAACTGTGCGCCATCTTTAAGAAACAATGCCTGCTCTCAACCTTTTCACTAAGCTGCTTTTAGAACAGCAGTTATTTGTTTCTCCCATATGGCATATGAGTGCACTGCCAGCAATAATGAATGTTGTTCCCAAATTAGAACCGTTCGAGAGAGAGAGAGAGAGAGAGAGAGAGAGAGAGAGAGAAGTCCTGAGGCACAGGGTTATTTCCTAGAGTGAAACATGGTGCACCACTCTCGGCCTTCTAACTATGCTGCTTTCAGAATGACACTTACATGCTTCTTTCCCTTAAACCACGTAAGTGCATTGTGAGCAATAAGGAATATTGTTCCGAAATTAAAAAGCAAAAATGCCAGGGGCACACAGGCAAACTCAGCACATGGGAGGATGAGGTGCGAGGCTTGCAAGTTCAAGGCCAGTTTGGGATATAAAGTGAGACCCTGTCTGAAAAAACTAAAAAACAAAAAAGTCAATATTCCCTGAGTTCAACTCCCAGCACTGCTGCCCCCAAAAGTCAATGTCATAACAAATGTAAAAGTTTCTTTTTTATCCAATTGACTGTGTACAAGGAGCACCACAAATGAGGACTTTCTGACAAATGGTGGACTTACACATAATTTACCCATTATCAAGAACATGGAAAGGGCACTGGGGCACTAGCTATTTGTTCCACAATTGCGTGCTTCCGGTGGGAGTGAATTTGACATTTATATCACTTGATACACTATGTCACTCCAGTAAACCAAGACTTCTTTCAGTAGAATTTCCAAAGCCTTCATTTTAATGTATTTTAATTTTTATTTATAATTCAAGACTTTTAATAAACAATAAGCCAGAGTGGCTACTCCACCTTGGAAAAGAAGCCCTTCCAATTATTAGAGCCAAAGACCATAGAAAGGAGAATTTGCAATGTTCCAGGGTCAAACAGAAACATCTGGCTAGGGCTGGAGCCGTGGACCAAGGGGAAAGGGCGCTTGCCTAGAAACATCTATACCACCTTCAGCCTTGTGAGTAGAAGCATTTATATCATTTAAAGTCAGTAAAACCTTGCTAAGGTCAGGACCGCTATAACAGTGGTGGTGAACAGTCATAACACTCTTTGCAAAAGCCCTTCCTCCAGGATTCCTGAGTGTATTCAGTCCTTAGAGTGGAACAAATCTCAAAATCCTTCTAGTCTATTTTCCCATCTTATTGATGAGGAAACTGAGGCCAAGACAGATAGTTGATGTGTTTTGCTTCGTATTAGTTGGACAGTTAATAAACATCAGAAACAAGTCAAGATTCAGGCCTCTGGAAGTCTGTCTGTTGGGTACAGGGTGGAGGTGAGAGCTCCCCATCCTGGCTTCAAATAAAAACAGAAATGTATCCCCCAAACTGTAAAAATGGTGAGTAGCGGCTGGGTGGGTATAGCTCAGTAGTAGAGGGCTTGCTTAGCATGTATAAGGCCCTGAGTTCAATCCCCAGCACTGCAAAAAATAGAATAGAATAAAAAGTAAAAACAGTGAATGAGGTCAAGGCCGAAGGGAATTGCTCAAAGTGGAGTTGAAAGAGGCGGCTGAGGAAGGCCTCAGAGGAAGGGAGACCCTGAGCTGGGAGCAGGTTTGGAGGGGCATTCCACAAAGACAGGCCAAAAGCACAAAGGCACCAAAGTGAGCCCCCCACCACCCCATCACCCTCCCTGCCTTCTGAAGGGGCAAATGGAAAAGACTCCCAGCCTCCAGCTCCAGAGAGATGACCTCTCCTCTCAGACCCCTGGGAGGAGGGTGAGGATCTCAGGAAGGGACAGAAGGTTGAAGGGGCTGCAGACTTCCCCAACCTACGCTCCAACTGGGATTGGTTGCCTCTAATGAACACTGAGATACAACACTGCCAACCGGCTGTGTAGGTGACTTGCTCCTGGATTCTAGAATTAACCAGGGCAGTGGCTATATCCTGCAGAGTGGTACAGCCCAGAGAGGAGCACCAGCTCGTCTCAGAGCTCTGAGTTATGCCACTCGGCATGGCCCCCATCCCTTCTGTCTGTCAGCTCCCATTCTTGGGTATAAAATGTGGCCAGTGACGCTCACTTCAGAGGGCCAGGATGACAAAAGTAACTGGGGCCATACCACAGAGGAAGGCTCTACGTGGCACCTGAGAATGGGCTCTGTCATTACCGTACTGGATTTAGCTGAACATTCTAGGAGTAAGAATAACATCTCTGAGCCGGATGCTGGTGGCTGGTTGCTGTAATCCTAGCAACTCAGGAGGCAGAGATCAGATCATGGTTCGAAGCCAGCCCTGGGCAAATAGTTCATGAGACACTATCTTGAAAAAACCCATCATAAAAACATGGCTGGTGGAGTGGCTCACGTGAGCCACTCAGGTGAAGGCCCTGAGTTCAAACCCCAGTACTACACACACACACACACACACAAAGTAACATCTCTGTTCAACAATTGCTCACTACTGCCCGAGGATCCTGACCTAGAATGTGAGTTCTGAATAAATTCCAGGCTCTGAGGAGCATGACCCAGGAACTTGTAGATGCAGGGCACATCCATTTCTGGTCTCATGTGACGAAAATCCAGGCAGCCTGGACATTGTTCTACATCCCCTCCAACACTGGCCTCATAAGCAGCCCTGAGTCTGACTTTGCTCTGGCAGGGGTGACATACAAGTTGAGTCGCCAAGCCTTCCTTTCTGCACATGTGAAGCAGGTTATAAAACACACAGACAGCCCCATCCCCAGGTGCTCCCCATCCTCACCAGAGGCTTCCATACCTTGTATCCACTGCACGTCAGGCCTGCATTTCTCTTCGCCAAGACGCACTTCATTCGAAGAAAGAAAGACCTCTCTATCTCGTACTCTGTAAACAGGCACAGGGTTAGATGTACAACCGTCCTTCCTGCTTCCCCATCTTCCTCCTAAACACCATTGACACGTTCCCAGGGCAGATCCAGCAGCCACAGGCCTCCTTCTCTGTGCCCAGGCCGTGACCCAGGGCACTCCCACCTTGGCTGAGGTCTGGGTGGGGAGGGGAGAGTCTGTGCCCAACCTGGTGTGGCTTCCACAGTCTCCAAAGGAAGGCAGCTTGAACCATGGCCACAGCAAGAACCTTGGAAAGGCCAGCCTAGAGACAAGGGCTATGCCTGGCAGAGTTCCACTTGCCACTGTCCTCCTCTTGTAGGCCACTGAGCAGCTTGGTGCCAGAAGAACCACCTAGGTCAGAACTGGGCTGATGCCTGTGCTACCAGGAAGTTCCAGAAGTGTCTAACTTCCTTAGGCCAGCAGATACTAAGTGGCAGTCACAAATTAGCCCCTTCCCTGGCAGAAGGAGCCAGCCACACGCATCTCCTGTCAATCACACTGTGGGCTCCCAAACCCAGTGTGGTCAGATCAAAGCTTTGGCCTTCATTTCTAGCCCTGGAAGGACTGTCCCCTGGTGTCTGTCTTTCCAGGACTGCCCATCGTGGCTTTGGCCAGCCTGAAGCTTTCTTTTCTTTCTTTTGCAGGCCTCACACCCATACCTCTGGGCAAATGCATATGGGCCCCTAAGGATACACTACCTGCTTTAAGGGAAGCCAGCACTTTGAGGCACGAATAAAGAAGTGCCTACACCTCCAGGTGAGAGTGAGGTCACATACTGTACGTAAACTGCCATTTAGTAGAGTTTAATAAATTAATCTTTAAAGAAGTGTTAGCACTAGGAATGGGAGCAAGGTCTTCCACCCTCCCCAAGGGCACTGAGCTGAGAAAGTTAGGGAAATGCCTCAGAGGCCTTCCTTCCCTTGGTTGGAGAGGCTGCCATGTTTTACCCACAATGCCTTCTGCAGTTAGGATCTGTAGGCATAAGGCGTCCTTGAGGTGTAGAAGCTCAGATCTAAACACTGCCTGGGGGCTGGTAGAGGGGCTCAAATGGTAGAGCGCCTACCTAGGAAGCTCAAGGTCCTGAATTCAACCCCCACTACCGCCAAAAAAACCCAAACAAACCAAAACAATAGCTTGGTAACGATCCAGTTTGGGGGATGTCTCACAGGTTTACCATAAAACAACAATGGTCACTTCAGACAGAAAATCAGCTCTGTGAATGAGAAGTTAGGGAGAAAACTGAGTGCTTAAGAACTCTGCACCTTCAGCTGGTATTGAAATGAGTCAACACACCCCTAACCCTTGTTGCTTCTTCTTTGTTCTATTGCTATGTTTTGACTTGAATCCCACAGACACAAGGTGTGTGTGAGTGAGGAGGTGCAGAAGGGTCTCCTGAGAGTCCCAAGATTCATAAGCTTTTACTTTGCAAGCATTTTTTTGGAGGCTATAACTCCAAAGGGCAAAGGGCAGTAGGGCTGATGGGAAAAAGCCAATTCCAAGGATGTAAGAATCAGAGTACAGCTTTAGCTAAGCCGCCCATCCCATCTCAGAAGCCAGCAGGCTCTCTCCTTGGGAAAGAGTTGTTAGACTCATGAACTGCAGGTGCAAGGGGCTGACAGTGAGCACACTCTTGTGCGTTCCCTCCTCCTAGCCTTCCTAGGAGGGAGCCTGGGACAGCCCTTTCCAGGATGGAGCAATACAGTGGAACTCATCACTCTTGCTTCATGTTTCTTCTTTTGCGTCTTGATCCACTGGGGAATTTTGGCCAAGTTGAGTACCACAGCACAGACACATGGGAAAGCCATGAGTCAGGATGCCTGTTGGCCTCTTTTTGCTGTTGGAGGGAGCTGAAAGTCCAGGGCCTCTCGAATAAGTCATGTATCTTCCTAGCACTCATTGAGATTGTAATTTAAGGAGTCGTTTGTATGGTGCTCAGGGCTTCAGAACTGATTTATGCCATGGCATAAACCTTAAATCCTTGCTAGAATGGTTTTTCTAAATGAATAAAATAAAATACATGAAAGTACAAGAGGAACCAACTGGAAAACAGTTTCCAAAATATTTAAACACATAGTGATATGGATATAAATGTATTGTTTTATTACTACATTAAATGACAAGATTCAGTAGCAGGACTCATAACTCCTGAAATTTTAAAGTAGCTGGACCATCAACAATATCTTCAAATAACCGAATAATAATAATGTGATCTAAAAATAATCTGTGGTTAGGGAAGCCACAGGTACTAGGGGGTCCCAACATGGTTTACAATCTACAACAGCAAGCAAGGGAAATGCTAAATTTCACCTAGAGGAAACACAGGTGTAATTGTCCCCCACAAAAGCCCACGTTCTGTCCTCTAAAGAAGCAGGCCAGGTTAAACCGTGACCTTGGAATTTGAAACCAGAAATAGAAGAGAGAATAGCCCATGACCAATTTTGTCTCCTACCCAACACTGAACAGTCTCTGGCACGTAATAGGGACTCAATAGTTGGTTGAAAATGAAAAGATGGGCTGGGGAAGTAGAAGAGTGGTAGAATGCTCTCCTAGTGATAGCAAGGTTGGAGCCTTGATCCCCCATACTGAAATTTAAAAGAAAAAAACCCAGGGAAGGCGGGAGGGAGGGAGGGAGAGAAGGGAGGGAGAGAGGGAGAGAAGGGAGGGAGAGAGGGAGAGAAGGGAGGGAGAGAGGGAGAGAAGGGAGGGAGGGAGGGAGGGAGGGAGGAAGGAAGGAAGGAAGGAAAGAAGGGGAGAAAGCACAAATCTTTGCTTAGTGAGCACTGTGTTTTTGTTCTGCTCACAGCCGAGCCCATTAGCAGGTGTGGGAAGCAAAGCCCAAGGGTCACAGTTAAGAACACGGCTTTGTTTCATTCTGATTTCTCTTGGTCTGGAGAAAATACCTTGGAGCAGGTGATGGTGCAGTGGTGGGTGAGCCGTTAGGACAGCCGTCATCTCATCGTGGTCAGAAGGATGGATGTACTCATAAATACTGTTGCCTGTAAGCTCCACCTGTGGAGGGAGGGAAGGGTCAAAGATGTCACTGGTCTCTAGGGTTGCCACAAGGGGGAGGGGCCAGATGTGTCACAGGTTCACACTCTGCCAGGGACAGGACTTTGATCTCTACTTACAACTCACACCTTGGCCAAACACTTTCCTGTTCTCTGCAGAGCTCTGAACCTCCACGCCTTCTGGAAAGGCCAAGCACTGAGGCTTGAGCTCAGAGCAACAAAGTCCCTTAGCAGAACTGCAAAGTGAAGGAAGAAAGGGTGGCCTTGCAGATGGGGCACACAGGCCAGGGCCTGGGCAGAGTCCTTTAGACAGACAACAGCTTAAAACAGACCCAAGCCCTCACTCCATGCTGTGTGAGGGGACTGGCTGGTCAGCAGACTGGCTGCCATGTCCCTGCTGGGCTCCCTTTGCTCCTGTGTTCACTCAGAGGCTGACCAGCTGGGAGCCACAGGGGTTCCTCTGCACTGGATGAGGCCTCTGCTCTGACAAAAGCCCTTTCTTCCTCAGCTCTGAGCCGTGCCCCAGGCACTGCCAGGCCTCTTTCGCATTGCCAGAAATGTGTCTCTGGCCTTCCTGGTCCCAGATGATTGTGGTTATTCTAAGGCTCCCGCCCAGGGGTGCGGCCGGGTCTCTGCGTGATCTGAGGAGGGCTTGGACCCACTCCAGCAGACCACATGATTTGGTGATTACTTCCCAGGGTTGCTACCTCAATATTTAGATACCACCTCCCTCCAGACACACCCCACAGGGGACACCATGGTAGGCCTCTAGGTCCCATCCTAGACAGGACACTGCAGGAATTTGTGGCTCCAGGAAAACACCACAGTTAGGATTTTTACACAGGGGTTTCTGGTGGGTTTGGTCCAATTCTCCCAAACACAAGCACCATGAGAAGACATGCTACTGATTTCTCAAATCCTGGGACGCCCCCCCCCCACCTTAAGATGGGCAATGGCACAGAATGTTCCAGAAACCACCACCATATCAGCTTCCTGAGCAATGGTGAGTGGGTTCTAATTTTAGAGCTATAATAGGTAAGGCTGTGGGTGACAGACAAGGACAGCGAGTCACTGTACCCTTGTATTGTTCAGGGCAGTCCCAGAGGTGGTAATTCCAACACAGCCAGTAGAAACCCCAAAGCCCAGGGTGGGAAGAAATTTAAAGCACACAAAAAAGTGCTATCAGGTGGCAAGGACCTTGGGTGGGTCTGAAGACGTCCTTCTCAACACTGCCCAAGGGCAAGGGCAACTCCAGACAGCACCAGAAGGTTGTGATGGGTCTTGTCCCAGCCTGGGAATATGTAAGTGTGTGGTACTGCAGGTTGCATGGGGACCTCATTGCTCCCAGTCAGAGGGGGTCATCGGCCTGGGCAGTGGTGACAGTGATGGTGGTGGTGCCACCTCACACAGCAGTGCAGTCCCAGCCAAGCAGCTTAATAAGAAGTTCTCCCAGGGTCTCAGCTCCAAATTAGCATCCTGCCCCAAGTCTTTACTTGAGAACAAGGGGCCACAGAGAGTTGAAGCGACTTATCCCACCCCTCCAAGCCAGCTCTTCCAATTTGTCTAAATGCAGGATTGCCTTATTATTCAAAAGAAAAATTTACATTTCTGGCCTAAGTAATCTTGTCCCCCAAATGGCTTCCACAGTTTTCTTTTCTGCATTATTCATGGAGTGCTACCTTCCAGCAAAACAGAGCAACAGAGAGAATCCTATTGCAGACATCCTCCTGCCAGTTACTTAACACTCACCCCCAAACCTGGGGTTTTGCCATGCCCCCCACCCCAGATTTGCCTATGTGAAAAGTTGTTATGTGATTTCAGTACAAGAATAAAGAATAAAAACAAAACATTCCTCTTTCAAGTTATTCCTTTTAATCCTTAAAAAGTTTAAAGAAAGAGTCTTTACTCTGCTGGTGAAGTGGCTCAAGCAGTAAGAGCACCTGCCTAGCAAGCATGAGGCCCAGAGTTCAAACCCCAGTGCCACCAAAAAAACCCAAAACACTCATTTCTGGCGTGAGGAGAAAGAGATGTTGTCATTCCCCCTCATTTTCTTCTTTTTTTAATCCTGTTATATTAAAATAAATCCTTGCTAAAAAAATATTAAAAACTTTAAATAAACCAGTGACATTGATGCCAGCCATTTAAGACAGGTCAGTCTCTTTCTTCTTTAAGGCAGCTATGGGGAGACCCACCGTGAAGTTCTGTGAAAATGGGCTTCTTTCTCGTCCCTCCCCTTCCCTCTCTCCCTTCTTCTCTCCCTTTTTACTACTATATCAATGACTTATTTTAAAAGTGAAAAAAGTAGGAAATTTTTGTGTCAATCTGTCATTTCTCCCTTACTTATGTTTTTAGGAGAAAATGATCATTCTAGTTTGCTTGAAGCTCCCTTTGAGAAAAAAATGTATGTAATTGATGTCATTGCAAGAAATGTCTTCAGGGACTTGCAGATAAACTGGCATGTCACTGACCCCACTTTAATTCCAAAGCTGTTTTACCTGACTTGAAAGTTCTAATCCTCATCACAGGTTGGAGAATGAGGAGAGAGACACAAGGACAGAAAGCCTGATTTTCTGAGTTCTCGGGAGCAACTGTAAAACAGCCAGGAAAACTCCAAGACTGTCTAGGAAGTATAATAGCCTTTAAGTAATGGAAATGTTTTTACAGAACAAATTTTGGAATGATAAAACAGCGCTGACCTTAACTCAAAATTATGGTTGACATAGTGTTTCCTGTATTTACATAGCTTTATGCTTTTGAACACTGGAAGAAATGTGACTACCTTGCCAAAACAACAAATACACACACATATGTACATATATATACAGTTGTTGCTGTAAAACTCTCCAGGTCTCACACATCAGCGTTATTAAAACAACTTCCATGTGATATTTTAGTATTTGTAAAACCCTACTAACTACAAAATGAATGACTTTCCTGCTCAGAGCTTTTTTACATTTTGCTGACTAGCTTTCCTTCCTGCCAAGAGAGCATGTGATGAACATGGTGCCGAGGGATCTGTGCTCTGTGGAAGGCCAGAGTTGCTCGGCCCTCGGAAAATGCCCGTTACTTTGTCTGGAGTGTTTTGCTGAGCGTGGCAAATTAAGCATTTTAAAATAAGATGGTTTGGGTTTCAGGGTTCGAGTTATGTAGACAAACATAAGATGTTGTCTTTTCTGTTTATTTCCAAAGTGAAAGGATAAGGTCTGTGCCTCTCAACAACATAATTGCTATTTTTATGGCTGTGTGTCTGGCATCAAGATCAAATATTACGTTTTCCTTTATATGTCTCATAAACCGCTAGTTCATCCATATCTGTATGTCTTTGAAAATATATACTAGTTACCTAGATGTTACATAATACACACAACTTTGCTAAGGAAGATGAACCCTAAGGATTCTTAAAAAGGTACACAGCAGCCATATAGAATTTTGTTTTCCCTTCCTTGACTGTAAGTAAACAATTGCATTAGCAAAAAAAGAGGAATTAAATCATTCAATTAATGTCCATAGATGAGAGTCTCTCCCCAAAACCACCTCATCCAAATATATTGAAATGTGTCTCTGTATTTTATGTGCATGCACAAACAACAAATAGAATTTTCAGCCCTGAAATGTGTCTCTTTCCCAGAGTTGAGGAGACAATTGCAATTTGTGGTTGTTTCTGTTATTTTTTTTAGTACCAAAGTTTGACAGCAATGATCACTTGTTTACTAGTTTAAAAGTAAAACAAACTAATGCACCCTGCCAAGGGAAGTAGACCTCTTTTTCCAAGACCTGAAAAAAAAAAAAAAAAAAAAAACCTGCTGGGTGCTGGTGGCTCATGCCTGTAATCCTTGCTACTCAGTAGGTGGAGATCAAGAGGATTGAAGTTTGAAGCCAGCCCGGGCAAATAGTTTGCAAGACCTTATCTTAAAAAATAGGGCTGGAGGAGTGACTCAAAGTGAAGGCCCTAAGTTCAAGCCCCAGTACCGAAAAAAAAAAAAAAAAAACAACTTAATAAAAGATTTTTTGATAGAGATGGGCTTCGAACACATAGATAATTCAGAGAGTTATTTAGAAAGTTCAGACCAAAGCATGATCAAAACAGGGCTGTGAATTTTCACACAACCATGGTACCAGTAGGTGCCTCTGCTCCCAATGGTCATCTAACATGGAATTCAACTTGACTCAACAAGAACTGTGAACCTTAGAAGAGCTAATGCCATTGAGCATAACGGAAAGTTCTTGGAACACAGAAAATCACCTTGAAAATACAACCTATTATTACCATCAGTATTTAGTAGAAAACCTACTTAAAGGGTTACTTTGCCTACTAGGTAAAATTTTATTAACCGCCCCTCCCCCTTTTTTTTTTCTTGTAGTGCTGGTTATCAAACCCAAGGCCTACACTGAGCTACACTTCAATCTCCATCATTTTTATCTCTGATGATATTTTTAAAAATTTAATCCTATTATAATAAAAGTTTCATGTTGGATATATATGACTTACTTTTTGCTACTAATAAAAATAATCTAAAAGGTGCAAAACATTTCAAAAAAGAGCAGTTGGGTAATTTGCATTCTATTTAATACTTTATTTTACTATTTAAGTAAAGAAGACAGGAAAAAATACACATTGCAATTCTGTTTCAATTTGCTTCTGCAGATGTTAATCATGACCAGGAGGCCGATTGGAGAGAGGCTTGTTGATGCTTATTTAAACAGCTCACCGCAGAACGCTCCCCAGACACTGACAGGGGCTCACGTGGCATTTCAGAATTTTTGTAGCTGCAGACTGGGAATGACACTGTCCCACTAAAGAATCAGAAAGAAATCAGTGGCTCTACACAATCAGTTTGACTTCTTGCTTTTTAAAGTGTTGTCACTTCTACTGGGAACACAAAGACAAAAGTATCTCTGCAACACTCTTAGAAAATGGTAGAGCACGGCCCTACTTTCCAACGATGATACGCAGTTTTATTTCTGCGTGGATCAAAAGGAAATCTAATACCTTACTCCCCAGGCTGCTTCCCTTTTCTTCTGGGAGTTAATCAGGAGCAGGAGGCTGATCTGTCACCTATCCAATGCGTTGGTCATTCTTAATTACTGTGTTCATAGTCAATCCACATAAAAAACCAAAAACGACAGAGAGAAGTTGGATGGCGTTCTGGGCCACCTGACTGAGTGACCTGAACTGGAGGACCTAAGGATGGCAGCACATTCCAAATGACCCAGCAGCACTAACAAGTCCCACCAAGTTGTCCACATGCAGCTGTGTTCTAATGAAACTGTGGGGTGTCTGGCTTTTGCGTAGCTGCTTACAGTTTACAAATCACATGGAATGGTTACTTTGGTCTGTTTCTCATGACAATCATAAATGAGGGACAGAGCAGGCGTTAATTTATTATTTACATTACGGTTCCAAGACATCAAGTACCTGCCTATCAGACAGCGAGCACTATTCCCTTCTTGTTTTGACTGCTAGTGAGCTCAGAGCTAAGCTAAATATTCAATAATAGTGACTTTACCTATCTTAATACATGTTCAATAATAGTGACTTATCTATCTTAAAATATTTTTGACCAGTCATCCTAAAAGCATGCAGAATGTGACCTTATTGTAAGACTACCAAAAGTTTTATAAGTTATAACTGAAAAAGGTAAATAATCCAATCAGCCATTTGGTCACAGATTAAGTCAAGAGTAGAAACCAGCCTGGGTAACACTAAAGGACTTTGATTAATTCTAAATTGGAAAACCAGAGGATAGTAACCATAGAAAATGTAGAAATAGTAACTATCTGTTCTCTCTCTCTCTCTCTCTGTGTGTCTGTGTGTATGTGCGTGTGCTAGGGATTGAACCCAGGTCTTGTGCGTACTAAGTCCACGCTCTGCCATGAGCTACAATCCCCATCCCATAGAAATAGGAATTTCACTCTCACAATAGTACTTCCCATTCCACAAACGATTAATCCCATGAGTCATCTAGGTGCAAGAGTCAAGCCTTGGTAAACTATATTTGGAAGCAGGTCTCATAAAGGAGGAAAAGAGAAGAAACTTCCAAATGATTTTAATACGCAATTCATTTAAGAGGCATGAGAAATGGATTGTCACATAAGCCCACTTGGACAGGGATAAGAACATACAGACACTGGAAGAGAAGACTGCACACCAATGACAAGTCTTGAAAAAATGTATTGGCAGAGAAAGAAAATGTGGTTTTCCAAATTTGGTAATTTTGCTCTTCAGTGAGAAAACTCAAGCCGCAGTAGCTGGGTTTCATTTTGGCTTCACTACACGAGGAGGCCGAGCAGTGCAGGTTCCTCACGTGCTTCCCGAGAGCCCGCCTCTGTGTCTCTCATTAATTCCAATGTGTCTTCAGTTGTGATGAAAAGTCACAATGTAAAGAAACATGTATAAAAAGTGTGACTTTAGACACCTTGATCAACATTTGTGAAATCAGATGTGAATGGGAACAACAATCCGACAGCTTGGCCTCTTTCTGGCCAGAAGAACCACGGGCCCTCCACCAAGCCCTAGGCCCACTGGGGACAGACAAGCTGAACCCCTCTTTCTTCTAAAGGATGAACCCCTTTGTTGAAGATGCTTCCACTTTTCTGGAAAAATTGGTAATACTGAAACTCTCTAAAGAAACCAGGACCTTGCAGTGCAAAACAGTAGTAAACTGAGTTTTATGAGTTTCTATCACAAGCTTATAAAATGCTTTACTGAAACAACCACTGAACTGGAAAAACTCAGAAAAAATGACCCTGGATTCCATGTGCATGCTCGTAAATCTGCTCCTTCCCTTTCTGTCTCCCTAAAGGACGTGCTGCACAAACCCCATGTTCTATACCAGCTTACTACTCAATTCACAGTGATGCACAGTGAGCATGGATGGAAAAGCCACCATTCTGTAGCTCTTTTCTGTGCCATCTAACATTACTACATAAGTGGAGAGTCCACGGGACCTGACAGACCCTCAGAATAAGGCTGACCCTGGCTAAGACACACTGCCCGTTAACCCCAAAGGAAAAGGAAAGTAAAAAGGAAAAATAGAGCAAGAAGAGGAAAACTCCTCCAGGGCATGCCCAAAAGAGGATTTGTACAGTTACGAATTATGTTCATACACAAAAGCAGGTGCTTAAACAGACTCACTGTCAGGTTGGGCAAAGTTGTCACGACCCCACCAACACGTCAGTTAATATTCTAATTGCATATTAAAAAATTAGGCAATACCCACCTGGGACAAGCCTAAGTGCACAGAAGCTGTCTCAGATATATACATGATTTTGCCGTCAGATGCTACCACAAAAACAAATCCATCCAAAGTCTGTAAAAGAGAAAGTGTCAGAGTAAGAGATGATATTTCTCCATCAGTGTTAAGTCTAGCGATTGCACTAGGGCGATGGCACAGGGCTGGAGGAAGGTGTAAAATTTGACTGGCTGGGGTGTAGCTCAGTGGTAGAGTGGTGGCCTAGCATTGGCCCTGGGGCCAAACTCCAGTGTATATACATATATATATATATATGTATATATATGTATATATACGTATTTGTTAAATGCCAAAGACCAGGGCTATAAGATGGCAGGTAACAACACTCAAGGTTTAGTTCCCAAGCCAGACTCTCAAATGCTTTTAACACACTTTAAAAACAGTCTTACATCCACATCCCCCAAATCATGCAAAACTTTTGAGAATTTCTATTATGCTCAATTTTGAACATTGTAGCTTTATTGTTTGGCGTTATTGTAGCACTTACTACAAATCCGGAATTCTATGGTTCTTGGGGGAACATCTACCACTATACAGACAAGTTAATTCAGAACTGGCAATCGTTTATACCACAAGGACATACACTTTATTTGCCTCAATTTTCTAGTTACTCCTAAGTACCATTTCAATAATAAATTCCGGCCACTACCGCTCCCCAGAAAATAAAACAAAATGCCCATTATTTTCCCAGACTGTGTCTACAGAATTAACCTTTTAGACTTTATAAGGGATCGAATAACCTTTGCCAAATTCAAGGAGAAAGAGTTATCAACTTCTGAAAAATTAAAACTACTCAATGAACTTCTGATTTTTTCCTACCCTGGCTAACCTTCCCAACAAAAAGTGAAATTATAAGGGATAATTCAGACAAATAAAAAGGTAATGATTATATGTAGGTGACAAGGATAAAAAAGACTAATTTTTTTTAAAAGGAAACTATATTTTATTTACTCATTCATATTTTAAATCCAGAACCAAAGAAAATCACTAAGATTGGTGAAAGACCTATGCAAGCCACAATGCTACTCCTATAAAAAAATTCCAAATTAATTTCTGGCCACAAATTCTATTTTTATAGCATGTAATTGAAACCAGATTACCTTTGGGTTTTCCACACACCCCCCCCCCTTGAAGGGAGGGCTAAGAGGAATGTGTAGATGTGAAACATGCATTCTACTGTCTCAGACACAGTTGGCTGCAAAAAAATTTTGCCACCTACACTATTATTTCCTTTCCTTAGGCAGAAGTTGAAATCAGCCTCCTGATATAAGCTTTACTTTCAGGTTTCTAACTGGGCTACAAAGTATTTTCCCAACTCAACCTGTGACATTGCAGAAATATAATTTGTAACATTCTAAACCATTTGGCACATTCTGCATGCTTTCTTAACTCCAAAATCGCTCAAGAGATACATTGAACAAAACAGATCTTTCACAACATCTAGGAAAATAAGTGAAAGTGAAAATTATCATAATTAAATTCTAAAAGCTGCCAGTAGTAGCTAAAAAAAAAAATGTTCTTAATGGAAAATTGTGAGTCTGCCCTCATAGCTTTGGGTTACCTAACTCACTTACAGGTACAGTAACTGCACCGACACAGCACTCAGGAATTAATTAAATACACAGTGGGGACATCAATACACAGTGTTGACTTTGCCCGCCAGGTTTTCACTTTAGTTCCCCGGCACTTAGTTGTCCCTAATATTAGTGTCACTTATAATATGCAGGAGTATGAAATATACCAAACAGTCAGCTCAGAGCTGGAAGCCAGAGCTGGGGAGAGCAGAGGGTGTCTGCTGGGCTCCCAGAGCACAAGCACCCGTCTGGTTCAAGGTTCCAAATGCACTTTTTTTTACAAATAAATCACACCTAAAAATTTAGGGCAAAAGTTTTTTTTTTTTTTTTTAAAGATCTGGTTTTTCAAAATGCAGAATTCCTGGCTAACTCTAAGACCTAAGTCACAACGGTTGGCAGCCAACATTTTTTTTTTCCTTTTAAAGAAAACACAAAATAGAGGGAGGAAATGCAAAATAGTTCTGGGTAGGCATTTTTCGATGGCAGAGACAAATGACAGGAGGGGGGAATGAATCGGGTCCTTGATGAGGTTCTGTAAAGGGCGTTTGAAAGATCCAAGATTGGAGGCGTTGCTGTCCTTAGCGAGCGCCAGCCGCAGGGTTAGGCAGCCCCCACTGCGACACCGGGGAGAGTGGCGGTGCCCATCCCTTAGCTGCGGGAGTGTTAAACTCAGGTTAGGGCAGTGTAGTGGTCTTGGGCTGAATGGCCCAGGGCTGGGGGCATAAGTGCCTGAGCCCAAATCAAGCAAACTCTCCAAGAACCAGGTAACCATGGAGGCAGCTTGGTTATTGGCGTTAGCTGCAGGAGTACAGGGACTCCAGGTCTTGCTGTGTGCTCTAGGGGATGTTACCTAACCTCCCTGTGCCTTAATTTCCTGCTCCGAATAAAATGAAGTTAAAAATAAAACCCCTCCCCCAGGTGGGTGGTCAAACTAGATGATAAAGTTTTGAAAAGAATCTGGCGTATAAAAAACTCAAGTGCCCAAATCCCGTCTGTTCTATTATCCGTGCTGTCTCTCCGCAGCGCAGCCTGCAAGCTCACGCAAGCACCAACGCTGAACTCTGGCTCCTAGGAAGCGGCACCATTCTTTCTCTGGCACCACGAAAAGTAAAACTGGAAAGGACTTAACCACGACCTAGGGCGCTGGAGGGACACAGGGTTGGAATAGGGCTTGGCCCGAGGCTGCACCCCAAGCTTGGGTCTTGTCCCTCCCGGGGCGGGAGCCATCCCAGCCCCTGAGACCTCTGCAGCCTGGTGACAGCCTATGAATTTGCGTGGCGCACCTCGAGGCTGGGGTGGCAGGGTCGGAAGGGAGCCCCAGCCCGGCGTCTGCCAGGGCCACTGGCGGCGGCGACGCTCCTGCCCGGGCGCGGTGGCGCTACCTGCAGCAAATGCGATCCCAGCTCCTTGGCGACGCTGTCCAGGGGCCCTGTTCGGCTCGGCTGTCCCCACGCGTCTCCTAAACCTGAACAAGGGAATAAAATAAACCAGTAAACAGCAGCGCCCAGAAAGAGGCCAGGCACAGGACAAGACACGCGGAACCTCGGCACCCTGCGCCCGGGTTTCGGAGCGAACCCCAGCAGCCTCCTCCGGCCAGCAGGTCGCCGTCTGGGTCCTCGCGGTCGCCGCTTTGCAGGAAGAGTAATTTGCGCCGAGGCCTCCGGCCCCGGCCCCGCGCGCACCGAGCCCGCCGGGCCAGTCCCTCCCGCGGGGCGCCCACGTGCTCGGGGCTCTGAAATTGCCATTTTATTTGAAATGCCACAAAGTAATCTCATCTGCTTTGAAACTGGCCATCTTCGTACCCAAACGCGGATATCGATTTGACCCGTAAATATCCCCCATGGACCTTCTCTCCCTGTCTCCCTTCCTGGTGTCGCCAGCTGCTGTGTTTTCGCAGAGAGGCCCAGACGCACAACCTCGGAAGGTATCTTCAGCATGCCTGATCCCCTGGTCTCCCCAGTGTCCCCCGGCTCCCCGCCCAGTGGGGTTTACGTGGGGACATTTTTGAGGGTACACTCCAAAATCCGAGAGATGTGGGCACCGGATGAGCCACAGGCAGCAGGCCACATACACTGTCAAGGGTAATCGGGAGGTGTCTGTTCTCGCATAAACGGGGATCCCCCGAGGTCCCCCAGCCCCTCTCCTTCTTAGCTGGGTTCTTCAAGAACTTCTGCTCTTCCCCCCCCCCACCCACCAAAGGCCACCAGTGTGGCAGAAAGTGCACCAGGGCAAGGACAGCCCAGCCCACCAGAATCCCCCTCTCCTGTGCCCTGGGCCAGCTGCTGTAACCCGGGAGACCCCATGCTTTCCTCTGTAAACTCAAGAGAAAGCCAGAGAGCCTACTGAGGTGGCGCTCTAGGGACCTGCTGGGAACACCCTTGGCCTCTCCCCAGATTCCTTCCTGGGGGCCTGGCCGCCGGCTGCAGAGGCCAGCGACCACCACCTCAGCTTGCGCTTCAACTTCCCCCTTGGAGAACTGCACTCTCAGTCCCCCAGGCCCTCGGCTGGGTTACTTAGCGCCTCCACTCTCGCTGCCACCCCTGAGGGGTGAACTGTGGTCCTAGATTACACACCCTCCCAGCAACCACAGGCCAGGCCCAGCTTCTGCCCGCCTGCATGCCGAGAGTGTGGGACCACAGGTTAGGAGCCATCGGGAAAGGCGGAACACGCAGGTAGGGAACATGGCCAGTCTGGGAGTCCCAGCTGTTCCCGGTGACACAAAGTCCTTCCACATGGGCAGCTTCCAGTGGATTGATTACAGGACAGTAGCCGTTCAGGCTCCCTGAGTCTCCTCTAGGGACATTGTGGCTTCTAGAGACCTCTACCTCCAGGAAGCACCTTGAGTCCCAGTGCCTCGGCTTGGTAGACCCTTCCTGGCAACTAAAAGGGATGACCTTTCATTTCTGCTCTTAGACAGTAGGAATCAAGCGCGTCTCCTCCTCTCTACAAAGGGAAGTGGCTAATGTCCACATATTCGATCCCCCAAAACGGTGCAGCTCATTGTTCTTGGCACCTCCGCCTCCACCAATGTGGTGGAAAAATCATTGCCATCTCCACGCACCATGGCTGGGAGCCTAGCAGGAGCAGGTCCTTCCCTCTGACACCCCCTGGGGTGGGGGAGCCTGGTGGCAGAGGTGTTTATCCCAATTAAACAGCAATAGGAAGAACTAAAACTGAAAAGCCCCCTGGGTGACAATGAATTTAATACGGATCCAGGAAATCTGATTCCAGAAAATGGACAAATGCTCTTTGGTGACCTGCCTTTGGGTCCTTTCAGGACTTGAGTGGTGTCCTGGATATGAAGCCATCATTGACCGGTTAGCTTCGCCTAGGGTCAGCGGCCCAAGGCATTGGGGAAACTTTGGGCTTTGCGAATTACCCCAAACCAGACTTCCCTGTTGGACTCCCTCAAAAACCTTATGGAAGGAAGAAGACCCAGGCTCTACATGCCACAGTGCACTGTGACAATTTCTCTATAATCCAAATACCTGGATACTTCAAGGGACCTTGTTCTCTTATGGCACTGTATTTTTTTTTTCAATAACTTCCCAATGCCCTCACTTCGTGGCAGAGATGTGGCCCAAACGTTTCTTTCAGATCTGGCTCAGTGGCACAGAAGGGTTTCCCCCAGCAGTCCCCACCCCAACCACCTCACCCCTCAGTGGCTTTGCCAGTTCTTCCATTAGGAACCGCTGTGGGCAAGGTCTTTGCACTCAGCCCATAAAAATCTGCTTTGGGCTGAATGCAGAGGCTGAATAAAGTTTGTAATGAAAATAATGCCTTGGTAATGAAAAACAATATACACTCCTGAAAAAGTGAGAAGTACCAGGCAAGTGGCCTTATCGACCCAATCAAGGGATTTACTTATTTGAACAGTGGGGGTGGGGTTGGAAACTAGGGTAAGCCCCTCCAGGGTTATCAGTGGATGGTGGTTTTGTCTCAGGAACTCTGGAGTTTCAGGGTGCTTACTGCTCCCAGACCTTTGATTTCCCAGCCCCAAGACTGGGACACTGGACAATCTGGGAACCAGGCTACCAGAAGCCAGGAAAGGCCAGGTTGTGTGGAGCCCCTAGGGACAAACTGCCCATAAACTGTTGGGGGAGGGAGCCAAGCCCCCCACCACCTGCCAGTTAGTCTTGAGGCATGGCCTTTCTCTCTTGCTTCCCACAGCTTTGTGAGTGTCAGTACCTGGTACCACATTCTGCTTGCCTTCTGGTTTAAACCTCCTCAGACCTTCCCTCCACAAGACGCTTGGCTAGTCAGCCAACAAACAGCTCATGAGCAACTGCTGCATGGGTCCCTAGTCAGGCTCTGGGGGTACCTCCCTCCACATGCAGGCTACAGACCAAACATGGAACCTCAGAAATAAGACCATTTGGGAGAGAAAAATGAAAAGGTTTTCTCATTGAAAGTTTGGCTTCCCCACTCTGGGTTTCCCTGTTCCTGCAGACCTGGGAGCAAGATCCCTATGGCCGTGACTGTGGGTTCCATCCTGGAGCTTGGTTAAAAAAAAAAAAACACCGGGGATACACATCCATTCTCTCTCAATTCCTGGAGGGGCAACCTCAGGTATCTAAAACAGTGACAAGAGAACTCATCACCCATATCTTGCGAAATTAGAGCGGGGATAATTGATTATCCAAGGAAAGTTGGATGAGAGGAAAATTCTGGGACCCATGGCTGAGGAACCCCTCCAGGCCTGAGCTCTCCCCTCTTTTGCCTCCCCCTACGATCTAAGGTGCCAGCTTGGCCAGTCCACAGGGCCTGATCTCCTTTCAGGGCCCCTCCTCTAACCTTTACTTTTTAAAATTAATTATTTTTTGCGGTATTGAGGTTTGAACTCACAGACTAGACCTTGAGCCACTTCACCAGCCCTTTTTTTGTGTGCAATTTGTTTTTCGAGATGGGGGGGGGTCTCCCGAACTATTTGCACGGGGCTGGCTTGGAAAAGCGACCCTCAAAAATCTCCTGATCTCTCTGCCTCCTGAGTAGCTAGGATTACAGGCGTGAGCCACCAGCCGGCTAACCTTTATTTCTTGTAGGACTAAATGAGCGGGGCTAGCGTGAAGCCTGGGTGTTTGCGAGGCTGCCATCACCTTTGTCCGCTGGTCTCTCCCCGCCCCCAACTCCTTTCCTGCCTCTAGCCTCCCCTCCCTGGGGAATGGGACCTTTTGCCCGTCCTGGGCCACAGAAGATGCAAGGTCACACTTTCGCTTTGCAAACCACTCCAAAGTCAAGAAGGGTGGGAGGCGCGCGAAAAGGTGGCGGGAGGGAGGGGGCTGTTCGGTCGTCTCCCTCCTCTATCCAAGCGCACTTTGGGCCTCGGGCGCCTACTGCAAGCCACCTATCCCGGCCACCCGGACAGGAATCCCTAGCGCCACTGGAATCCCTGTGGGGAGGCTCAGGGGGCTCCCTGCCAGGGCCGCCCAGCGCGGAAGCCCGGGCGAGGGTGTAAAGGATGGGGAGCTGAGCCCCATCTTGCTGCCCTAGAGTCACCCATAACGTGCACCTCTAATAAGCCTCCTCTCTGGACACTAGGACCTCTGTAAGTTGTCACCATTCGCGGGCGCCCCCAGCGCACATCAGTCCCTCTCTGGCCTTAGAGTTATTCTGTTCTCTCCAGGGTCCCAACAAATGTTCCCCCCAGGGTCCCTACAAATGTTCCCCTTTCCGGTACTCCTTTCCAATCAACGGGCTAGGAGACCCACAGTGTGAAGGTCGCCCCGAGAAGGTCTCCCACGGACCGATGGAGGGGGAGAAGTGAGAGAGAGAGAGAGAGAGAGAGAGAGAGAGAGAGAGAGAGAGAGAGAGAGAGAGAGAGAAAGGACGCGTCAAGTTGGCCCACCGCAGGCAACTGTCTACAGGCCCTGACACCAGGCCGAGGGGCTCCGCCACCCCAAGGCCGAGCACTCAGAACTGGGAAGAAGTGCGGGACGCAGCTCCAGCGGCCGCGACACGGCGGAGCGCACTTCGCCCAGAGCCGCGCAGCGCCGCCGGGGCCCGGGCCAGGCTCCGGGTTCCGCCCGCGGAGCTCCGGGCGCAGCGATCCGGGCGCAGCGCGCACGCCAGTCCCTCGCTCCAAGGCCAAGGCCGGCGCCGCTTCTCCACCGCTCCAAGTAACTGAGCTTTGCCTCCCGGACCCCAGGCTGTCTTCACAGTAGAAATAGGGAGAAGCTTGTGAAACAGCAACAACTGCAATAAAACCAACTACATTACTCTTTAAAAAAAAAATTCGCCTTTAAAAAACGTCCACGATGTTGGATTGCGGTAGAGACAGGCTTCGGGTCTCTTGATTCCACATCGGTTCAGGGAGAATTTCCCCTCACGAAATGAAATCGTTTTCATCCAAGGCAACAATTAGAAGTCAGTCAGATTGGTTCCCGCGATGCTCGGATGCGTGTTTTAAAATAGATTGGGTGGGGATGGGTAGGAATAGGGGGTACCTGCAACTGAATTTGAACTTCGCCCAGGATTTGAATCCCACTTCCTCCGTGTGTGTGAGAGAGACGTTTTCTATTCTTTTGATTAAACTTTCTGTATAATGTAGCAACACCTTCTCACTCCTTCACATACGCACACGTCCTGGGTCTTTCAGGTCTGGGAAAGTGGGGGTGGGGGAAGAGACTCAGCCTCAGTTTCCAACTCCATTCCTGAGCCAGGATCTCGGGGTAGTCCCTCCTGCCAGTAACCATTGGGTGTGCAAAGTCCAGAGGAAACGCCACCTTCCGCCCCACCGAATCCTGGAGGTTGGCGGGGGCGCTGCCGAAGCTTGCCGCCAACCAGAGTCGGCCCTCGGAGCGGAGGAAACGACCCTGCGTCCTGCAGCGTACTGTCGCAGTGCCCCTACGGCCTGGGAGCAAGCAGGGTTCGCCTGCTCCGTGCCTCTGCGGGTTCCAAGGCGCCCCCTTTCCCGAGCAGAGGGCCATAGGCCAGCGAGGAGGGCCAGCGAGGAGCGCCAGCGGTCCTTTGCACCCAGCGGTTGGGCAGTCTGTTACCCGCGTCCCCCAAACCCGCACAACTCATCCAGTTTTCTTTTTCCAGTCCAGATTCTAAAGCCGGCCTTGCTCTCCAGCCTTCCTCCCCGCCCTGTCTACCTCCCACTCTTAGTTCCATGTTTAAGCGGAGAACAAGTGGATAGCCAGAAAGCAAGCAGCGGGTCTTTAGACTGGGCAATGATCTCCCCCCACCCCCAACTCCTCCATTTAAGCCTTTGTCAGGCTCAGGAAACACAGGGCTTCACAGGAAGGAGTGACTGGAGTAAATTTCTACCTGCACCTCAAGATTCCTCTCTGCGTCCTCACATTTGCAGCCACTATGAGGATATGGAGTCCATAATGGACCCATTTTACAGACACTGAGGCCTACAGCACAGGGTTTTAGTAAAGCCTTCAGCCCTCCTGTCTAAAATGAAAACATCCCCCAAGCTGGAGGACTGCTTTTGCTTTGGTGCCAGATTCCTCTGAATTCCTCTCTGGTGGCTTCTTCAGAGCAGGAGGACATGCAGCACCCCTGATGCCTTTCCCTTATCTCCTGCTGTGGAACCTTGGGAAAGGCCTGATCTCTCTCTGGCCTCAGTTTCCCCAGGTATGAAGAGTTCATCTAATGATTCCTGTAGTTCCTCATTTCCCAAAATTCCCAAAGTCCTAAATTGGTCTCCAGAGTCTTTAACCAGGGATCCTGCTTGCTCCAGGCAAAACCTTGCTGAGCAGATGGGTTCCACTCAGGATCATTCCTTTTGCTTTGAGAGCTGCAGGCAATCTAGGTGCTCCCACTGGTGCCAGGTCGTCCCTGATCCTAAACTTTCCATAGGGCCACTGCTTCAATCTCAGAAACTCATCAGGCCCTGAGCAGATACAGGTTCCCCAAGAACATAGGTTAAATATACCACTAAAATACTGTTTCTGCTCCCCTTGCCCCCCAAGTTCCTACCCAAGGGGCAAGCAAGTTGTATTGCAAAATGGAAGTCTTTCTAAAAGCATCTTCTCTCTTTGCCCGAGGCTCTCAGCTTCACAACTTGGCTCCAAAGTGATTTGAGGGGTTGCCAGATCCAAAGTTTCAGATACAGCCCTGAGCAGGTGGACAGGTCGCTGAGGCTGCCTGCCTCCCCTCCCAGACTGCTGTCCTACTGCAGCTCTGTAGGAAGGGGGGAGGAGGGAAGGGATTAGCCCCCTGTTCACTCCCCCAAGTTGAACCCCACTGGTTAGAGCCATTTGCAAAACTCCAGAGCCAAATGACTCCCTGATGACCCCTTCCCAAATACCAACCTCCAGGGTCACCCCCTCTCCCAAAGAGATGTAAGTGGCCCCTCAACTGGTCAGCTTCTGAACCCAGACCTGGCATCCCTTTATATCCCCCTGCAAAGGGCACAAAGTCCAGCCAAATGCCTGGAGATCCACTACCCAGATTAGAGCTCACAGATGCTGTTTAAATATCAGCTGGACAATACACAGGACACTTTTGATTTTCAGCAACCTCTTGGCCATCTTCCAAACAAGAATGGCTTATAATTAGTCCTCTTTTCCCAGCCTAGCCCTGCTAGCAAATTTCTTGCTTATTTGAAATAGTTAACAACAAATCACTCACCCTTCTGATCATTTCTTTTGTTTTCAGAAAAACAAACAGAAAGACAGACAAACAGACAAACAAACCCAAAACTATAGGATGGGGAGAGACAAGAGGAACGGAGGCAAGTACCCTGTCTGGATTCCACATCTGTTTGTAGCACGCGGATAAAACGGCTCATCCTTGCAGACCTCAAAATATCACTCCTCCCGGGTGGGAAGGAAACTCGGCCCTTATAAAGTTTAATTCGTTTTTAATTTCCACTGAAACGTGTGTCGGAGAAGAACCATCCCTATTTCTCTGCACAAGGGTTCATCCCTAAGCGGACCAGTAACGACCACTTCCACGGAAGGGACTGGGTAGGGGTGGGGGGCATCTCTGAGGATCAGGGTAAGAAAACCCGAGGAACCTGAGCCCGGCTCCAATCGGGCAGGTTCGGGACTGCTGAGCCCCAAAAGAGAGCGCTCGTGGCTGGACTGGGGAGCTCCGTAGAGGCCGAGCCATGGTTTTTGGCGCCCCGCTCCAAGACCTCTGGCGCTTGGTCCCCGGCCTGCTGCGCTGCAGGACCTGAGGCCGCGCTGGCAAATAGGCCAGCCGCGCCGCACCAGCGAGGCAGAGAAAATCCAGACAGTCACAAATTACAGCCTCCGGCGGTGGCGAACACCGATTTCAGCCGAGGCCTGGCTGCGGACAGCATTAATGGAGGCGCCCTGTGGCCAAGGGACACCTGTCGCCCGCGCTACCACGACCCTCCAGAGCCCTGCAGCTGAAGTTGTCTCCCTACCCCGCATCGGCTGTCGCGGCTCCAGAGGCCGGCGCAGTCCTCTGGGCTCCCGGGCCTGGAGGTCCGGAGTGCCTGTTAGGGCCCTGAGTTGTGTGCTTCTCAGCAAAGCGCCAGGCCTCAGAGATCCCGGACCTGCTGCTTGGAGGTGCCTAGGTCGGCTGCGGCCACGATCACCTGCCCAGGCCGGCGCAATCGTGCCAGGAGAGCCCACCCCGCACGCCACGGTTCCCTGTGGTTCGGAGTCCACAGGACCGCATTCTTGGGTTTCTCCTTGGCGCCCCGATAGTAGACCCGTGCTCCAGCACTCGGGCCCACCGAAGTACCTTCTCAATCCCAAAGAGAAATGCTACGCTCAGGCCTAGCATTGGGCTGAATAATCCCTTCTCTCTTCCAACTAAGTCCTGGCTCACTCAATTCGAGGCCTCTCCTACCCGATCTTTGCTACACAGCGCAAAGGAAGGCAAATCGGAAACGGAGGAACCATGAGAGAGCAGAGTCTGAGAGCCTGGCTCCCCACTAGCGCTCAGCTCCAGGGCTTCGGCCTGCCGTGCCTGGGCCTTACTACTGGGAGTGGGGGCTGACTCCTAGGGGATGAAGCAGCAAGGTCCTTTACCCCCTGCAGAAAAAGAGGAAATCAGAGAGCGATGAAAGAAAGAAAAATAACAAAAGGGGAGAAGAAAGAAAAGAGGGAAGGACGGATAAAAAGGGAAGGAAGGTAGAAGAGAAAAGAAACCAAATCCAACCCTAAACCAGAATGGACTGGCAAAAAAATAGAGGCAGAGGAAGCAGAGAAAGAGGAGGAGGAGGAGGAGGAGGAGGAGGAGGAGGAGGAAGAGGAAGAAGAGGAAGAAGAGAAGAAGAAGAAGAAGAAGAAGAAGAAGAAGAAGAAGAAGAAGAAGAAGAAGAAGAAGAAGAAAAGGGAGGAAGAAAAAGGAAGGAAGGAAGGAAGGAAGGAAGGAAGGAAGGAAGGAAGGAAGGAAGGAAGGAAGGAAGGAAGGAAGGAAAAAACAAAACCAGAATGGACTGGCATCGGAAGAAAAGAACATAGGGAGACAGAACAAAACCCAAATGGATTAGCATGCCAGTGCCAGCTCCTGGAACTATTCTTGGTTTGCCCCAGCCCAAGAGACGGTTCATTCACTTGGACCAACCTGGCCCTGACCCTCTCCCGGAGTCTGCGCCCGGCGAAGCCCCCCGCGCGGCCTCCCCACGACGCTCTCGCATTGGCCGGGAGGCCTCGGCGGTCCCCGCGCGCGGGATCCCTCTTCCTGCTTGGGCCAGGCTTCCCAGCTCCGCAGCGTTTCCCGCCGCCCACCTGCGGCCTCACCTTCGGGGAAGACGGCGCGCATCTTCAGGTAGCTCGTGGTAAGTCGGATGATGGACGCTTTGTCCAGCTGGGAGGTGATGGCCGACGGCAGCGGGAGCAGTTTGGCCAGCTCGTAAAACTCGCCATTTTCTTTCTCCCTCCTGGTTTTCGCCGCATTCTTGGACTTCTCCTTCATCGCGCCTCGGTTCTGGGCATATTAGACCCCGCTGCGCTCCAGGCCCGCGGCGTCCCGCTCGGGCTGCGGCAGCGGGGATGGGGAAGGAGTGCGGCGGCCAGGTGAGTCCAGGGTGCCCGCCGCGGGCAGGTGCTCGGGACTGGCCTGGAGCACTGAGTTGCCTCTCCGCAGTCGCTAGCCGAGAGCTCAGCGCAAACCAGCTGCGCCTCCCGGTGCTCCGCCTGCGGCGATCGGAGTCCCGCTTCCTGCTCGCTTCTGTTCGCTCTGCCTTCCCGCCTCCTGCCTCAACTTTCCTTAGGGTGTAGGGGGCCGGCGACGGGCGGCGGTGCCGTTTAGTCCTTAACCGAGTGTTTGGTCCCGCTGCCCCGAGGCCGCTCCAAACTGGAGAGCGGCATAGGCAGCGGTGGCCGCGGAGCCATCCGAGCGAGAGCCGAGCCGAGGGGAGCGAGGTAGCGGCGGCTGGGGCCAAGCCCGGGCCCGGCGTGCTCTCCTGCCGTCCCTGGCCGCTCCTCCTGGCTGGAGCCCCGCTGCCGGGAGCCCGCGATCTGTGGCGAGGCTCAGCTGCTCCGCAGTCCACGTGCGACCGAGCCGCGTTTGTTTATGGCGGACCCGCCTTCGGGCGGAGCGCTAGGCCGCCCTGGCCCCGGGCGGGGGGGGGGGAGGGAAGCAGGTAGGGGGAGGGGCCGCGGCAGGGGCGGCGAATGTCGCCTTCGACCCCGCCGCGGCCCGGGAGTCGCAGGCGCGCCTCCACGTCGCTGTCTCCAGGGACTCACCGGAGAGACCTGCGCGCTCCCGGGCTCAGGAAAGTGGCGGTGAGTGCACACGGCGCGCCCCGGGACCCGCTCCTGAAAGCGAGTCGCCGGACCTGGGCGATAGGATGGGGCGCTGGGCTGGGGCGGCGGGGTGGAGCGGAGGAGAAAGAAGGGAGGGGTGCCGTGGTCTCCTCCTTGGCTCTCGGGCAGGTCACCGCGGGCGCGGCGGAGAGGAGGCGGTGCGACCCGCCAGCCAAGTGCCATGCGGGAAGGACAGAGTCCTCCGAGGCCGCGCAGCTCCTACACCCGCACTGTCCCCATGTCGCAGGTCTGCGAGCCGAAAGGGGGTGGCCAGAGGGAAGATTTCAACTCCCCCCTCTTCTCCCACACGCACGTACACAAGGAAACCGCGTGGGAGGCCCAAGTGACCATTCTGCCCTTTCTTGCCCAAAAACACCGGGGCGAAAGGAGATTTGCGCCTCCCGGAGAGAAGCGGGAGGCCGCAGGGAAAAGCGGGAGGTCAGGGTCGGGGAGCCGAGCCCAGCCGCGAGGCCTCTCCCCAGGGCGCCGGTGGAAACAGGGCCCAACGGCCCGGGCTCCAGCGGCTGAGGGCGGCAGCACAGATCGATCTGGAGCAGCCGGAATTTCGGGGAATCGCCCCTTGGGAGAGCAGCACAGGGCGACGGTCGGCCAACCAAGAACACCAGGGGACGTTGGTGGGGCCCGTAGTGATGGGACAGAGAGCATTTGGAGAACGAAGATGCATTTGGTGACGTGGCCACTGAGAGTACAGGGGCTCTCCCTCAGAGCCACACTACATCTAAATAGTTTTTCTTGTTCCTCTTCTCCCCCCTCCCCCGCCCCGTCGCCTCCCACTCCTGCAGCCCAGGATAGGTACGCGCCAGGGTCCTCCGCACAGCCCTGCGGTGGTCGCACACCACCCACTCCTTCTTGGAGTCTGAACCCTCTGACGCGGTGAGGATGCCAGCTTCCCGGGCGCCCTGGCTCAGCGACAGGCGCAGAGGTCTTAGGGCAGTTCCTTTTGGGCGTCCGGGTCCTAAGCATAATCTCTTGGAGGTGTGCGTAAGGCTGTGGATTATGGGATGCGGGGAGGCTGGCCTGGAGGTCCGCCCAGGGCTAGTGGACACCGGAACTGGGATGTGTGCTGTGTGTTTGGTGGGGGGCGAGGGGAGGTACCGTGACCACTCTGGGTGCCACTGCTCTCTCCAGCTCGTACGCTTCCAGTCAGTGACCTGGAAAAGACTTCCCTCTCCCGCGCCAGAAAGGTTGTGCTTCCCACCACCATGCCAGAAGCTGGCGCTCCTGACCCTTTCCAGGGACCCCTAGGTTCAGGGTTCGGAGGCTTTCGAGGTGGTGTTGATTTCCTCCGTGGGCTTAACAGTGCGCGCCTCCCGCTGCCCCTTGCGCCCTGCCAAACTCACAGCGTGGCCAGCGCTTCCAGGGACCGTACTCGGAAACCGCGAAGCCGCGGGAGCCCAGAGCACAGGAACCCGCACTTTCCCTTGGGGTTTGGGATCTAGGCACGCTATTTTGTTTGCAGCTGTGTACGCAGAGGGTCTGGATCGCACGCCAGCTGTGCGGTGCGCACCAGTACCCCCGTCTGCGTCCGCGCCCCAATCCCGAGTCGCGCCGCTCTGACTGCTGACCGCTTGGAACCTCCCTGAAAAGAGCCTCGAAGGGAGCAGGGGCTGCAGACCCATCCCGCCACAGCTTCCGCAGGCCTCCCCAAGAGCGCGCTCTGGCACCTCCCTGGCTTCGGGAGGATTTAACGCTTCTCCCACCCCCACGATTTCCGACCCTCAATTATGGACCCCGGAGAATTCCTCCCCGGCTTGAAAGGGATTACCCAGATCGCAGAAACATGCCTAAGTGGAAGTGGGAGAAACTCGACAAGTAACAAGAACGGAAACTTTCCTCTAACCAAGTTTCCCAGATTTTACGGGGAAAGAGCACTTGAGCTCTCGCGACCCGGTTTTCACAGTGGCAGCCGCTTTCACGCGCCTGCAAGACAGATCCGGTACTTTGAAAGGTGGCAAAACCGAGTGTTTGTTGATTCCAAGATCTGTGGGTGTGGATACTAACAGGCCTAAAGCCTGTCTCAGCAGGCGCCCAGGCAGGCGTGGTATAAGCCCCTTCCCCAAGCACATTCTTCTACATCACACGAATGCACACAGGGCTGTGGACCTATGTCTTTGGCAGCACCACCGAAAGTACCACAAGTATTTGTGCACGGATCTTGAGGCTTCTCAGGTAGGAAGAAGGATACTGATGGAATAGTGAAGAAAAAAAAACCCTGCAGTGGCTGGGGCCGTCCCAGGGTTCTCTGTACTGAGTCAGCGCCTAAAGCCCTCGATCAGGACTCATAGGCCAGACATCCACAGCCATATGTGGGGCGTACGAAGTTAGAAGTTCTGTTTAAACTGGAAAGACACTGAATACATGCTAATCGGGAATAATTAAGGACATCCATGGTGACCACCATTTGGGACACCTGCTAAGTGTCCCTGGCTCCTGGAGTGAGAGAGACTTCTGGTCCTCAGCTCAAGCTAAGCTCCTCCCGCAGAATATCGGGACCACTTCAAAGGAGCCCGCAGAGGGTGAATAAGAAAAGGGGGTCTGGCCCATTGTGGTCTTGCAGTCTCCCACCTCTTAGACAATTTTCCATTAGGAAACTGATCTGGATGAAATTCGGGCCCCAAGAGGAAAGGGGCAGGTCCAAACGCCCCACATCTGTTTGGATTTTCCGCTTCAGATGCTGCGCAACTGTTCGGTCCCCAGGCTGCACGCGCCCGCGCCTACCTGAGGCCATGCCTAGCGGAAAGCTTTTGTGTGAGATCCAGGGAGTGGGGGTACACGCAGATGTTCCTTTGGGGATGGGCTCCCGGGAAGCGGCTGCAGTAGGAAGGACAGAAACCTGGTCACTACAGAGGTGAGAGGACAGCGAGAACTTCTATTTTGAACCTATAAAGTGGAATTTAAGAAGAATTTCAGCCTCCAGAGCAAGCAGAGGCATCAGAAACCCAGGACTGTTGGGTTTTAAATCTGTTTGATTTATAAGCCCTGATCTACCCAGACAATTAATACCGATGCTTCCAGCATGACATATTGACGTTTCATAGCTTAGAAGCTTTCTGGTCTGAGCTATCCCAAACAATACCTCTATTTTCCCCTGTGTATGTCAACTTTCCCTGCTGGCATTGGTACTCCCAGAAAGGACCAGAAAACAGTTACAATTTTACCATGCAGTTGCTTAAAGATAACTACAGGTAGCAGAGCAATTTCAAAACAATTTATTCCTGGAGAGGTCCAGACAGTAACACTCTCTGCTTGCTCTAATGCCAAGTAGTACAGCAAGAGAAGTTTGTTTCTCTTTATTTTTATTTTATTGGCACAGGAATTTGAACTCAGGGCTCTGAGTTTTCTAGGTAAGCAGTCTACCACTTGAGCCACACTTCCAGCCTGGTTTCTTTCTTTTGCTTTGTTACATTAACAAGGTAATTTCTTTCACTGGAACTTACACCTTTGGAGGAAGTTGCTTTTATGTTGGTGGGTATCTCACTATCCCATTGCACCCTAGTAGGATGGTCTGGCTTCTTGCACTGGGTCCAGAGCCTCAGTTGCTGCAGAGTCTGTGACAGCTCTTTCTCCCCTCATCCCCTAAGGAAAGGGAAGTGAAGGAGGCATCTCAGTGTCTGGGATGTCTGTTTGGGTGGGTGCTTCTTGAAAAGAGCTAAGTTTTCTGAGATTCTTGGGAGAGCACAGTCCTTCAACTTGGTGGTTCAGAATGACTTCAGATTCTGGGATGGGAACTCCTGAAGCTGCCACTCCAATGCAAAGACTGGAGTAGTTGCTGCTTACTTCCTTTTTCTCAAAGAGATGCATTTAGGGGAACAAAACCAGTTAGTGTCACTGGTAATTATAGTGATTTACAAAGTTCCTGAAAGAGGGCCACAGAACAACCTGAAGCTGAGCTCATTTTATGTGGAGATGGATGGAGGTGGTGAGCCTTTTCCTCTGCACTTGGCTTCCCTGGTCTCCCAAACCCCCACCTGATCTCTCTCTAATCTCTGAGGCAGTAAGAGGGACTTGTGCAAGCTCTTCCAGAAGCACACCGACATCCAGTGACCTAAGGGGATGGTGGGGTCCCTCTGGAGCACAGGCTGTTGTCCAGCGCCTAGAAGCATCAGAGGCAGTGGGGAGCCGCACAGCTACCTTCCCTCCACCCTC